ATCGATTCGTCGCATCGTCATGATCTTGGTGGTTTGGTCCCTCGTTCACTGGTTAGAGTGTTCTTCTTTGTTCCTGTTGATTTCACTTTGTTGAATAACGAGCACATTTGCTTTTCTCATCTGCACTATTTTCGTGTTCCTGTTTGCGTGGGAAGTGGCTCTGAAGGAGGAATTTTATACGCTTCCCTACATGCCATTTGCCACGACTTACCTGCAGGGAACACGAGGGCGAGCGCTTCAAAATCAGGGGCGTGAGCCCTGGTGGTTTAAGCTACAAGTAAATAATTTGTACCACATTGGATGTATTTAGTTAAGGAATACTGAAGAATTCACAAGTCGGTTGATCTGTTCTAATGTCGCATTTTTGCAAATCATTGTAAGCTTGACGCAAGAAGGCAAATGCTGTGGGTGTGTGCGGTAGATGCCACATGGACGTTAGTATGGAGGCTTGGACTGCTTCGAGGGTGTAGGTAGGCGCAGTCCAGTTGCTTTTGAGTCCTCGTATTGGGACCTTAGATTGGAGCAAACAGCAGAAGGTGGGATCCCATTAAATAGACACTCACGAGCTATAGAGCTTTTTTGAGCTTGAGATTAAGTGTCTCTTTGTAATAATCTCATATGGGGCGCTATACAGGACCTGCCCTGCTCAACATGAATCAAGGATCACTGCTGAGGAAACTGAAACCTGCTACTTGCTCGCGTTTCTCAGCACACTAGCCTCCCGCTGTGGCAGCGTGCAGCCCTTCCTCTGCATCACTGTGGGATGCCTGCAATTACGGCATGGTGTACGGCCCTAGAACAACACGTTGTGCCCACGCTGACAGATCCTAATTTTAATCGGAACTGACATTTAAATGTTGTGGCGCTCGCAATACTTGCGTATTGTCACCCTCCAGTAAACCTGAGTCTTGGAGACTACGCTAACAAGTGACAGGGCAGATCGCACTTGTGCACCGTCCCCTAGGACGGCATATAGTCTTCATGTCCAATGCCAAGAAAGGCTAGCAATGACCCTTAATGTGAGCTCGTGTCGGCGCTGAATTGACCCATTGTAGGTTTTTAAGTGCGGCCCTATCTTCGGTAACCCGCTGCCTTCCACCGCAGCCTTCGTAGTAGGCTTTTCGTTTCCTTGATGCGCTCTCGTTGTTCGCCGAGCAGCTTGCACCCGCTGGTCCCAGTCCCCTAAATTGAGTTCTTTGGCCTTTTGCATACAACATAGCTTTTAAGATATATGGTCGGTTTTCTGACAAAAGAGGCAAGTTAGAGATCGGGGGGTGTCGGGGACTGCCTAGAAACGCAAGTTCCGTCTCACTCTTTTTTCTGGCTAAGATTAGATTGTAGGTCAGGACTCGTTGACACAGTCTCGACATCCATACACTTTGATTCCCACCGTGATTTCTCCATTTTAGCCACCGACACAGCACTCACTTGCCTTTGAGACTTCAAGTCATCCATCATGTATGAAAGCCCCAACGGCTGTTTAATTGCTGAGCTGTTGCCCATCCTGCGAACACCTGAGATACACTTCAGGCAGATTTGAAAAAAGCCAGCGATAAATCAGCTGTTTTGTACGTTCTACCTTTTGTTAACCTTTGTCAGTCTCTCCAAAGCTGGCTGTTGAGCCCCCCTTGGCATAAGCAAATGAATCAGGGTGCAAAATGCTTCAACTGTAGTAAGCACTGTAGATAAGAGGCTTTCGTTGCATGAATAGGGCCACCAATAAAGGTCTCTTCCTTTGCAAACTCGGCTGAAGGACAGCTCATTTCTGTTTATCTGCGGGATTTAACGGGGAGATACTTCTGCAAACAGCTGACGAAATTTTTGAGTATTTGCCCTATTCTAACGGCCATCATAGCTTCTTGTAAGCAGCGTCGTATCGGCGCACGCACTAAACATGCCTGTCTACCTGCTTCGGAGCTACTGCGATAAGATCAACGTGTGGGCAGGCCCCTAAGGTGTGCCACCGTTTACTGTCATCGCCAGAGGGTTCTTCTACCGCGCTGCTGCCAACAACGGCATTCCTAAATAAGCTGGTCAATCATAGACAACTAACGGAGGAAAGCCTGACATTTTACTGTATCCACAGGCAGCGAAGGAGCGGGGAGCAACTGCATTGATCCACGAGGTGCTACCTACTTTAATCCTCCACCTTAGGCCTTTGTAGAGAGACATTTAACCACACACCACAGGTAAGCCCAATAAAGAGCTCTTAGAAATTACAGAAAAACTCCTTTGTTGCTTAGCCTGCGCGCCATAGGATTTTCGCATGAGGGGCGAAGGGCAGCTAGTCTGCGGACAGTTGCACTCCCTAAGCATTCTGTGCATCAAGAAATACTTGCACATAGCATCCAGCGAACATAAATACACATTGTGTTTTCTATCCAGCAAGCACCATTATACAAGAAACAGGATCTACGCACATCTACAGCAGTCACTCAATTCTTTATCAATCTCCAATCAAATATAAGCTGTGTAGGAGAAAGTGCTAAGGTGCAGCTATTAGGTGCAGCTTCGCCTGCTACAGTACTTAAGCGTCTCCTTACTATGACTTCAGACAAACATTCGTATCTTCAGTAAGAGCCCCCTATTTCCACTTCCCTAGCTCTTCAGGCTTCAGACATAAGGGTTAAGGGAAAGCAAGAGTTCGCACTTCCTGCGCTGTCTCAGCCCTCCTGAGTATTTACAGCTGGGCTGCACGTAAGTTCTGATGCACAAGGATGCAAAACTGGCTCTTACCCTGGAGAGCATATGCTACCCTGCAATAAATAAGATGCACGAAAACCAAGCCAAAACCTCAATTTAGACGAATTCCTCGTAGAATATAACTACTTTAATAGAAAGTGCCACGATATACCTTACCCCGTTACACCGGCACTGTGATAGCTCTCGTGTTTGTGCCGGGCAGATAAATGCATAGTTTACGGCTGCTCAAGCTTTGAGTATTTTGTCCCAGTATGAATCCGACTGAGCGCTCGAAAAAGTCGGAATAGCTTTTGGTATTTTACCAGGTACTACAAACCGGCAACAAGTCGACGAGGATGGCGAAGCCTCTTGGAGGGTTTTTGCGTCAAGTTCCACAGCATGTGGTTCAGAGCATTTTATTAGCCTTGAATGGTTTCGAAAGACCTCTTGAGGATTGTGTTTGGGGCTTAGTGGTCGTTACGATGATTTCATACCACCCCCACCCCGCGAGCAGTGGCGGCACGAGAAAACGAAGTACGTGGCATTCGACTGGAACGACACCTTTCACTGATTCAATACAGTATAGAAGTTGTAAAAAGTCTGTTCAATACTGAATTTCATGATTTGCTTTATTGTCTTTCGTCATTTATTCAGCGCCCATATCATCGTGCAGGATAGGTTGTTGAGTTCACCGTGGGCAGGCTATGGCACATAGACAACCCCTCTCTTTTCACTTCTAGTACTCTCTCAAATGCTTTTCTGAAATTCTGAATGTTATTTTGCGCTCGTTTTATACCGATTTCCCCGGTGTTCCCTGACGCTCCACACCCTGCTTCAGGGAGGCAGACGTGACCCTACCGTCCGTTTCGTTGTCACTTTCCTCCTACTCCAGCTCTTCTTTATCAGAAAGGTAAAGGTTCCGAGATGGTAAGTTTTGGAAAAAGCCTATGAAGGGCTCTAGTATGCACCTATAGCATTTGCCTTGTTCAATATCCATACATGTCCCTCGCAGCTGGCCGGACACCTCAACCATCACGTGCAAACTCCAGGCAGTGCTCACGGCCCTGTGAAAGGAACAATGCTGAAATTATCCCTAGAGAAACCGTGGCAAACATGAACCCACAAATCCTAATTATGTATTTCCCCATAAGCTGCTGGGGCGAGTATGAGCCACCAATGCATTGCTGCGCTGCGGGTGTTGGGATTCAGCTACCGTTCCACTTGAACTTCTCACAGTATCATCAGAATGGTACAGCGGCCCCTGTCGACTGGGAAGCAGCTGCAAAGCAATACTCTGCCCATCGCGTACCGTCGCAGCAGCAAGAGGAGCAGCACCAACAAAAGGAAGCAATCTCTGGGAAAAGGAAGAGAACGTCAAAGGTTTCCAATTCCGTTGCCAATGATGCCGCTGATGAAGACGAAGTATTCGCTCCAGGTCTGGCTGCCTCTGATTTGTTTCCCTCCTCCTTTCCATACCCGCCACCCTTGCCCAGCATGTACTTACCTACCCTTCTTCGTCAGCTCCCTCCTTTTTGGATTAATTATCTCCCCATTTGCGCCTCTGCCTTGACTCACAGATGCACTTGATGAAGGAGGAGTCGGTGATTTAGACGGATACACAGAGAGAAGGGATGAGATAGGGGAGCTTCTCAAGCAAGCTGACCAGGCCCCTTATTCCTATGAAGCTCTACAAGCCCTCGTCTCTGCACTTTCTGCTGCTGTAAGTCTCCTAGCCTGTTGCAAGCTCACTGTTTACGCTATATTTGTTTTGTTGCTTGCTTTTAACCCGTTTGATCGGCGAAAAAGCAGCCTCCAGGTGATCCTGCATGCTGCCAGAAAAGGTATTGTAGCAGCCAGGAGCTTCCCCCCGAAACTAAAAATTACGCCACTTGTTCACTCATTCTCGCAGGACCCCGAGAGGCTAGACGAGTACGAAAGTGCTCTCGAGAGGCTTTTGTTTGAATTTCCTCTCTTATTCGGCTACTGGAAAAAGCTCGCCAAACTGCAATGCGACAAAAAGGGAGACTGGAACAAATGTGAAGAGGTTAGCGCGTTTGCTCGGGTGCTGCCTCCTCGATCTTTTATGTATTTTTTCTTGATTTTAATGAGCCCCTCATGCTGCACTTTGTGCTAAGTGTGTCCCCGAACGGAAGCTCTTTGTTTGCTACTGCTGCTGTTGCTGCTTTCCCTTCCATGACACCGTTCTTGGATGCGCTTTTTAAGCCTCTTGTCTGCTGCCCTCTGCTAGGCTTTGTTTGCATCCTAGCCAGAAATTAGCCGTACTTTTTCCAAGTTCTCTTTGCTGCTGTCTGTCTGCGTCTTTCTCTCTCTCTCTCTGCCTCCAGAGACCCTCACTTTGCATGTTTTTTTCTCGTGTCTTCTCAGGTGTTTGAGCGTTCTCTAGAGTTCGTTGGACACAACCCTCTTATATGGACGGCCTACTTTGAGTGGATGCACGACTTCGCCTCTCTTCCTCCGCATCTTATCAGAGCCAGGATGGATCAGGCTATAGAACGCGTGAGCTTTAAAATCCTGATGCGTGAAAAAAAACTAAGGGTTCTAGCTCCTACTACTCTGTCTACCGATAGCCGCCGCGTATTCTTCCTAGCAGGAGACCACATGCGCCACACGCCAAGAAACCTTTTTGCAACCCTTTGCAGCAACAACATGCAGATATTTTTATGAGGAGACTCAGGCTGTCGTGCAGCATTATGCTTCTCAAGGGAGGCCTCATACAAAAAAACTGCTTCTTTTATGCCGCCGCAAGGGCGAGTAACTGCGAGCAGGAACGCTGCCCTCCTCCTACGGCCTGTAGAGAAGTCTCTGTTTGCTTGGTTTCGAGCCTCCTCTTTGAAGAGGTTTAAAAAGGCGCATCATAGGCTGATAACTTCCCGCTGCGACACGCCTTCTCAGGCAGGAGCACACTGGAAAGCGTGGCCTCTGTGGCAGAGTATTCTGGACTGGGAAGAGGAAGAACTCTTTACAGCACGCGAGAAAATAATTTCAGCTGAGCAGGGAATTTTCAAGGAAGAGCCTCAAGGCAGCGCTGTACAAAAGTTCGAAAACAAGTGCCAGGAGAGAGAAGCCCCCGAAAGTCTGACTGACATCAACCGAGCGCGCATGCAAACTGCGCTGGAAAGGGTAGGTGGAGAGCGATTTAAAGGCTTTTAGATGGAGTAGCAAGGCGTGCATGCATGTGCAAGCTAAACTACACAGACTTGGCAGTGCAAATGCTGTTAGAATGTAGGGACTGGGGGGGCCTTTTTTTATCAAGAAGTGGCAGAGCAAGAGCAAGAGAAGCCTGTGTCACAGATCTTCACTTGTGTGCTGCTGTTGCTGATGAGCCCCTGCTGTATAAAACACTTTGTAGATCCTCTGCTTCTGCGCCTGTGCTCCAGCTGCGCATGCTGTACTTCCAGCTGCTCCGCACGCCTTTAGAGGCATCCGACTTGAGCTGGGAAAGGCTCAAGACTTTGGTTGAGAAGGGCAGTCGCAGCAGCATCAAGAGTCGGAGGGGCCCTCGGCTAGGGGGAAACTCGGAGGGGCCCTTCGGGGATGGAGGCAGCAGCAGCACAAAGGGGGGGGGCCCCTCCACGCTGTTTGACGTGTATGATCTCCTTGGCGATGAGTTGCTGCCACAGCTGCTGCAGCGGCTGCAGCAGCAGAAGAGCACGACGCTTCAAGATCTGCAGCTTGCTATCGATGCAGCAGCGACAGCAGAACAAGTTTCATCTGCAGATCCAGCAGCCGAAAGAGCCGCAATCAAGGAAAAAGGCAAGCCCTCTAATGCCGCGATTGATAATGCTGCTGTCGCTAAGGGCAGTGCCTGTACTTGTTAGTTACCAGCGCTGTCTGTTTGTGCATCTTTGGAATTACTTGGTGTTGCGATAGTGCTGCTGCTGCTGCGGGGGAGGCTAGTATTTATTGCTAGAGTGCTGCTAAAACAAGCTACTGCACTTCCGTGTTTTGCTGCCCTCTTTTGAGATGCAAGACAGTGCGCTCCAACAAGTCCTTTGCTGTGCGCTGCCTGCAGTGTCAGCCTTGGCCTCCCTGAATGCTGTAGACAAGGAGTGCTGGCAGCTGTTGAGGGAGTTGCTAGATGCAACTTTGGCGCAGGCAGAACAGAGAAGACCCTTCGAGCGAGCGGTCAGTACAAGCAGCCAGCCATAAACGCAGCACAGGGGCCTAGCTAGTGCTGACACGTTAAAAAAACGCTTCCTAAGCGTACATGTGGAATCTTCTGCAGTAAAACGTCTCAGTAGCAGCGCTGAAATACAGCGAGCAAGATGCATGATCTTGTGCTTTTTCTTTCCTGCTACTGCAGACACACCGATGGTTTTGGCATCCCGATCCTCTCGCCCCCCGCCGCCTCTGTGCATGGCGAGAGTACCTTGACTTTGAAGAAAAAAATGTAAGCTTTCATGAAATCTTTGCAGCAAAGCAGCTTTACTTTCTGCTTAAACCGCCCTTGGACATGCATAGACATGCAACCTGTTTTCCCACAGCAAATGGCAGGATTATTCTGGAAACACACGATGTAGTACTGCTCAGCAGGGCATGTGCAGCGAAGCCTTCTGAGGAATAGAGTTGACCGCTCACAGCGGTATCTCCTGCTTTTGCTTCTGCAAGCGCGATACATACCTGATGTCACCTCCTACATCTTTACCTGCTGCGGGTGCGTCTATATGTGTGTGTATGTGTGCTTCTGCGGCTGTCTGAACACTGGGAATTGCAGGCACCAGAGCGCCTGGACCTGCTGCAACGCCGCTGTCTGGAAGTGTGCGCCTGCTATCCGGAATTTTGGCTTCGATGTGCTAAGCAAAGGAAACAAAAGAGCGTAGATGACGCTTTAAGTCTTCTTGAGTTTGGTACGACAAAGGTTCTGAAGCGGCGGTACGTGAGCATTAGAAATTTCGCAGCGTCGCAGCTTTTGCTGCACGCTGGAAAGAACAGCCTCCAGGTTGAAGACTGCGCACTGCGTTTTTTGTTTACGTTAATTCTACTTCTCAATGCCAAGGCCACCCTTGGAAACCGTAACAGGGCTGCAAATAACAGCCCTCTGCTTTTGCGGTGTGTGTGCGGAAAGATGCAAAAAGAGACGGCGGTAGATGTCTTGCCCTCTACTTGTCACCTCCTGTATGTATGTATTATATTAATATATACATTAATATATGTATTTATGCATATCATAATGAATTTATGTATGTATTCATGTATTTAGTGCCATTTAGGTCATGATTTCGGCCTCTGTGTGCACAGAGGCCGTCTCAGCTCCTCGTTCCTGATCTTGTCTGCTGCGCATTTCTTTCTTTAGGAGGGACATGGCATGCGTTTACGCCTCACAATTGGAGGCTTGCGGCCGTTTCAAGGAGGCTGCAAGGGAATTTGAGGCCCTTGTCAGGTAAGCTGAATTGAGATGCACAGACACCCGGAGGCCGCCATGTGATGACCGTACACGCACCCACCGACCGCCTCGCAACACAGTAACTTCGCTGAAAACTGCACTGCTGCTGCGTATGCATAATAGGCCTCCCATGGATGCGGCTTCTCTCAAGTATTTCGTGGCGCTGCTGCAATTCTCTCTGCGGCATCCTCCTGAGACAGCAACCGACGGCTTGAGTCACGCGTTGCTGCTCCTGCAGGAGGCAGCCGACAAGTACCGAGACAATGCCCCCTGTGCAGAGCTGATACATCTCTACAGAGCCAAGTTGGTTGCTTTTCACGAGGGAGATACCAAAAAAGCACTGTGCGTTTCAAACCGAGAGGAGGAAGAAGTATTGTTGTCGTCAGTAGGGTCGCTGCCGATGCGTGTGCAGGGCAGCAGGAAGGGATAGGAGGTGTCTTAGTGCAGGGAGGCTTTAGATTACAGACTAAAAGTCGCTTATTAGTAGGAAGCACTATAATAACGCGTGCTGAGGCTTTCGTTTCTGCATGCGTTTGAATGCCGCTCGCAAACTCTGGAAACTGAGTGGTCCACTGCCTACTTCTGCGTGTTGTTGCAGCTGCATCCTGGCGCGAGCTCGAGAATCGCTCCCCAAGAGCCTACCACTCCTGTTGCTGCAACTTCGACTGCAGCAACAGCAACACGCAGGAGATCCGCAAAAAATACTCTCTGCATGCAGGCACCTCCTTTCTGATGTCCTCTCCAACTCAGATGTCAGTCCTGCTGAACCCGTAGAGCTTTCAGCACTTTAAGTTATATATAAATAATATATATATATACATATGTGCATCAGCTGCACGCTAAAGGTAGCCTCTGAGCTCATTCTTCTTCGATCAGTCGCTTCGCAACACAATAGTCAAACACAGCTGGTGGAAACATTGCTGTGACTCAGGCGGATGTGTGGCTTCGGTGGCAAGTTCTAAAGCTGCAGATTCATCTCTGTGAGTTTTACGGCGCTTCCACGGAGACTCTTTATGCCGCAAGAGTACGTCAGGAGAGAAACGAACACCCAAAGGATCGATTGCGCTTGGCTTATACGGCGTGTTTCCCAGCTCCTTGCAAAATAGCTAGGATAGATGACACGCCTGTGTAGCTGTAGATAGCTTACCTCTAAGTAGCAGCAACTTACCCTCCATCCCTTTCTCCCGCTTTTCTTTCTCTATTTTTTCTGTTTTGCCTATCTGTCTCTTTTGTCTGTCTGTCTATCTATCTCTCGCTATCTCTCTCCCTCTTTCTCCCGCGCTTTTTTTTTAGTGAAGCCTTTGCTGCGACTTTGGGTGCTCCGTACTGCCACCTGACAGGATGCAGCAACAGCCTTTTTAGAGAAGCACAAGGAAGAGATCGATGCGCTTTTAGCAAATGTAGAACTGCGACGTCTCCCGCAGCAGCTGCTGCTGCCTTACGGAGAGAAGGAGAATGAAGGTCCTACAGTAGCAGCAGCTTCAGCAACAGATTGGTGCAACGGAGAATCTCAAGCAAGCGCAGAGGTTAGTGTTTTTTCTAGCACACACAAGCTGCTATCTCCCGCTGCTGCTGCTACTGCTGCTGCAGCTTCCCCAGCAGCAGCGGCAGACTCTTGCTCCTCTCACCCTCTAGCATGGTCCTTTGACGCAGTCTCGCCAGCAGCAGCTTGCAGCCATTCCAGCAGCACAGCTTGCTGCAGCAGGAACTGGAGCTCTGTCGCTAGCAGCTACATCAGCACCCGTAACAGCATCCCAAAGGAAGCATCTTTCACGCCGTCTGCTCTGCTCATTACGGATGATGGAATTCTCCAGTATCTCCACGCGTCAACCCCCTCTTTCGCCTCAGCAGCAGCTGCAGGTGCCGTAGCAGCAGCTGTTGCTGCTAATTCTTTCTCTACAACTGCTGCATGGAGCTCGCAGTCATCACCCCCTAAGAGGGCAACCCCAGGTACTTCCGCTGCCGCGTCAGGTGTATGTACAGCAATCGCAGAACGCACACCTCTTTGGCCTTGGCGTGGAGCTTCATGGCAATCTGAAGACGTTTCAACAGCTCATCAAAACGAAACACTAACAACAGCCAAAGCGACACCTCAAGCAGCGGCAATCGCCAAAGCCATAGACCCCTGCCGTCAAACTTCCCCTGCAGTCATGATGGCGTTGACAGCATGCAGCACACCTGCTGCCTTCGCCGCTTTATGCAGCAGCATCGCTGCCTTCTGCCCAGTTTCATCTCCTGGATCTCCAGGATCTCTCCTTCTCCCTTTCACAGACGATTATTTGCAGCAGTCTCCTTCGACGCCAGTCCTACCCGCCTTACTACAGCCGCTAAAGGCGACTCAGCAGCAGCTCGCTTTGGAGGCTCCGCAGCTGCTGCAGCAGCAAGAGCAGCAGAAGTCTCTGCAGGAAGGCGAAGATTGTCATGAGCATGCGGCTTTACGCCCTCAGCAGCAGTCGAGGAAAGGCGAGAAGGAGCAGGAATCGCCCCCTCAGCAACTCGAAATTCGGCGGCAAGACGATGAAAATCTGCTGAAAACTCTTGGAGAAGAATTGCGACAGCAGCAAGTCTCCTTGCATCAGCAGCCTCTCGTGCAACACCAACCGCACGATCAGCTTTTGCTGCAGCAGCAAGCACTCATTCTGAGCGAAGTGCAGCAGCGTCAGGAAGAAGAGGAGATGCAGAAAGAGCAACAGCAACAGCAGCAGCATTTATTGCATCATGCAGGACGGCTCTCGCCAGCAGGTGAACGCGCGCTTGCCGCATGCAACGCCACGCTCAAGACAGCAGCAACACCGGGAGAAGCTCATGCGTCTTTGGGGCTTTTAAGAGGCAGCAGCAGCAACAGCAGCCGCAGCAGTGTCTCATCCTGCAGCGTTTCCTGCAGTCCTTTGAGTGTTGAGCAGAAAAGTGTGAGAGGCATTCGCAGTGTCGACTATTGGAGCAGCAGCAACCCCTGTAGCGTTCCATGGGAAGATGCCGCTGCTGCGGCTGTGTCTGCCTTGCACCTCGATAGCAGCATTGCTGCGAGGGATCCTCTAGAGTCTGCCGAAGAGTCATTTTCCTCGACTATGCCCCAGATGGACGCTGCTGTGCAGTTTTTGGCGGCGGAAGCTCCAGCAAGTGCAGTTTCTGAGGACTGTGCAGTGGAGGGTGGGGTTGTTTTGACAGCAGGGATGGATGCTTTTGCAATGCAACAGCATCGGCATCAAGAGCAGGATCAGGATCACGAGCATCATCATCAGAATCAGGAGCAGGAGCATCATCATCAAGAGCACTCAGAACAACAACAGCAACACGCACTAAAAGCTCCCCCCCCTGCGTCTCAGCTGACGATCAACAGCAGTCCAGCTTCAACGGTTGCCTCTGACTCCGTGGCAGCAACTGAGGAAACTGAGACGTCGTCAGAAAGTCTCGCCGTATCGTCTCCCCAGCGGCTGCCTGTCAAGCAGCTGATAGGCAGACACATTGCAGAAGCGGGTAGAGGCCTCTCCTTCATGCGCAGTTTTTCCTTGCACAATCTGCGTGTGGCTTTGGAGTGTGGATCTCTTTGCCCTCCTGCTCCAGAGGCACTGAAGTCGCTCTCTTTCGGCGAAGTTGTTGGCTGTCTGTGCTACGAGGCAGCAGCAGCGTCTTTGGAGGCTGCCGTCTGCGAGGTTGAGGAGCAGCTGCCGCTTCTCGCTGCAGCGAAAGCTGCAGCCACGAAGACTGCTGCGTCTCCCCTTAACTCCTATCTTCCTGGTCTTACAGCTCTGCGCCAAGACTGGATCTCCTTTGCTGCTGCCAGAGATTTTGTATTTTCACTGTGCAACCTGCTGGACATACACTCGGAGGTGTCTTTCTTAGCCGTGCGGTACATGGGGTGGCTGCTTCTGGAGTGGCATCGCTGGCAGCCCCCTCCGGAAGTGCTTTTCGATGCTGAAACGCCTACACCTGCTGCAGATTCTTCGGCAAAAAGGCTTGGAGAGAAAGCTGCTGTACAAAAGCAGGATGATTCAGAGGCAAAGGCAGAAGCAGACAGAGCGCGTGTTGCACGTGTGCTGTGGGGGGTGGTGACTCCGTCGTCATCGCAGACACAGAGGGGCGTCGAAGCAGGCAAAGGCGACGCTAAAGAAGAAGACATCAATCCGCATCCATTGCCAGTTCTGCAGCGACTCGGATGCTTGTGTATTTCTCTAGCACTGAGGCAGATCGAGGTTACACCAGGATTTGATACGCGGCAGCTCGCAGCGCGAGCAACAACGCAGTACATCCAACAATACACAGCAAAGCGCAAGGCAGCGGCTGCTGCAGCAGCAGCAGCAGCAGCAGCGGCATCGGTGGTAGAAGTAGCGGGTGCAGATTCACTGTTGGAGATACAGCAGAAGAATCAGCAGAATCAGCAGCAACAACATGAACGGCATCACTCGTGTTCTGTATCTATGAACATTCCTCCCCTGTTACGTCATGTATGGACAACTAAGTATTGTTCTCGCACGTGTAAGGCGTTGCACCGGGAGGAGCAGCAGGATCTGCCTCTTCAGAAAGCAGTGCAGCAGTTGGTGTTGCGCAAGGAAGCTATTTTACCAGAAGTCTGGCTGCCTTTCCCTTTCACTGGATGGCTAGAGCTTTACGCGTGGGGTAGCATCAGCAACTTCGATCCAAAGCCTGCTGCATGCGGCGATGAGCAAGCAGCAGCAGCAAGTGTTGGTGCTGCTGCTGGAGGTGATGGTGACATAGCCTCGCAGTCCAGCAGCAGCAATTTGCTGTTGTGGATTCTGGAGGCACTGAAACTTCGCAGCAGCAAGTATGGAGCGCAATGGATGCAGCTGCCACAGGGATCATGTGCAAGTTGCTGCTGTACCGGCAGGTGTAGTGACACCCCGAGCCGCAGCGCACCAGTCTCTCCAGGCGCAGAAAGCAGTGCCATGGAGACTGAGGATCGTTCAAAATCCTCACCAAGACTAAAATTCTTCCAGGAGGCCTCTACTGAACAAGTCGTAGCAGCTGAACATGCTGCTGCGATGCAACTGCTGCCTGCACTCCTGCCCGTCGTAGAGCCTACGGATCTGAAAGGCGGGAAACGTCTCCCGCAGGTGCTGCTGCGACTGCTCGTGACGTCCCCCCATCCTGCCTCTGTCTTTTTGTCTCCCTCCGTTCATGCCGTGGGGGTGGTTTTGCTGCTGCTGCGAAGCTACCCAGGCACGAGCAGCGTGAAGCTGCAGCAGCTGTTGCGTGCCGTTGTGGGGCCTACCCTCGTGCAGCAAGCTGCCGCCTCGCTGAAGCTGATTGCGGCAGCGATCTCGCTTGCAGCTGCTCCTCTTCGCAGCTCTTGCGGTGTCTGCGGCTGCTGCTGCCCCTTGCCGTTGCCAGTGCAGCATACCCTGATGATGACACTGCTGCAGCAAGACGCGCTAGGCAGCAGCAGCAGCCTGCCCTCTCTCGTTTCAACGGCGAGGCGTGCGGCGGCTGCTGCTGCAACACCGCATGCAGACGATCCTTCGCAGAAGGCAGATAAAAGCCTCAGCAGCGCGAAAAAAAAGCGGAAGAAACATGGCTTTAACAGCCACTCGGTGTCTGCGACGCCTACTACTGCCACAGAGGCGTATGGCTGCTCCGTCACTTCAAGTTCCTTCGCATCCAGCGGCTGCAGAGAGGACGGCACTGCTGGAATTCTGGAGGCTCACACGCAGCTGTACGGGGAAAAAGCTGGCAAAAAACAAGCTGTTTCTCATATCTTGATCACGGCTGATGACAGTCCACACCTGGGAATCTCTCCGTACTGTAAACGCGTTGCCCTCTCCTGCAGCTCTGCCTCGACAGAGGCAGCAGCAAGAGCAGCAAGAGCAACAACATCTGGCAACACTACCACGAGCAAACAGCTGAGACTGCAATACGCCTCCAGCCCCTTCTCTCCATGGGCTCAGTGGAGTGTCTCTGCAGCTCTCAACGGCGCAGAAAAAAACACAGCGGCATGCTTCATTGCGCAGTCTCCCTGCGGCTGCATGCAGCAGCAGACCACCAGCAGCAACAGATCCAACGCTTGCAGCAACAGCAGCAACAGATCCAACGCTGGCAGCAACAGCAGCAACACACGAGGAATATCGCTGCAGCCTGTGGCAAGAACCAGACGGCCTCGACGTTGGGATGTGGAAGCTCCGACGCAGACATCATAACATGTATATATCCATATATATAAATACATATATATATATGCATGTATATGTATACATACCTATATATGCATGTGCAACTAGTGCATCTGTATGTACTGTATACGTGTTTCTGCGTGGTGTAGTGATTGATGACTTCGAGTCTTCTTCCTGCTGCTGCTGCTGTTGGCAGCGAGTCATGAAGCAGCAGGTTGACTCCAGCAGCTGGAGAGGAAACGGCTTAAGGGGGGGCGAAAAGGGAAAAGGGGGAAGCGGCGTGGAAAAGAAGAAGCGCACAGCGAGCGATCTTCCTGAGGAGATCCTCTGAAAAGCTGCTGCAAAGGCAGCAGCAGCAGCAGGAAAAGGCGTAGTGGAGAAGAGTGGAGACGCAAAAGTGGAGATTGGATGCTGGACGTGCTCCTGCGTGTGCTGCTGCTGTTCAGGCGTGGCAGCAACAAGCCTATCAGCAGCAGCTGCAGCAGCAATACGCAGCTCTTGGATTCGACTGCTCACAGCTGTACAGCTGCTACAGCGGAGCAGTTCAGCAGCAACAGATGATGCTGGCAGCCGTCTACGGGCAGCAACCGCAAGCTGACAGCACGTGCAGCAGTTTTGGATGTTGGGCACCGAGTGCTGCAGCAGCAGCAGCTGTATCAACAGCGGCGTCGACAGTGGCATCTTCCTGCTCGTCAACCAGCATTGTGTAGCTCGTTCAACAGTTTCTATGGCCTTAAAACGTTGGCAGCAGCACGCTTTGTCTCTGACTATGCCTCCCCACCTCTGACGTCTCTGCAGTTTGCACCCTATGTATCTGCAGCTTCTCAAACTGTACACCTTCGTCCATGCTTTGTTTTCCATTGCAAAGCTTGCATGATGTGGCAATACGCACAGCCCCTAGCAGGGAGAGCCAGCGGCCAAATGAGAACGCTGTGTTGCACTAGGGGTCGAATTTCGTACAAATAATTACTGCGCTGAGTGACGCAGTTCTGTATTTCCTGTCACACCTTGTCATTATCTGTCTCTCTCTGCCCTGTCGAACCTTCCCTCTTCCCTTCATGAAAGACATGACCCTACGAGAGATGCCTGCCGCCTGGCTTGCGAGCTTTGCTGCTCGACAGAGGCACCGCTGCAATCGTGCAGCGAGATTGTTACAAAAGGTCGCCTACCGAGACACGGAAACGATTTGGAATGTGTTCATAAAAAATTGTGTAGCTAATGTGTGCACTCATAAAAAATGCATATTCTGTACATACTCGTTACTGGCACACCTTGGCAACACAGAGAAGGCAGGCGGAAATATTGCGCTTAAGGGGACTCTTGGAAATCATCGAACGCATGTCATTGCACCAACAAAACTGTTGACATACGGTAGTAGGAGTAGGATCTCAATCGAGATGTAGCGATGGGAGTAAATGCATACTGTCGCTCATTTGGCGTACCGTTGGCTTAAGAGAGCGCAATTCTTGCAGCTGCGAGGGCATTCAAATGCAATATAGGGCCACGCGTAGCGAGGTGCACCCTTTAACGAGACTTAAGCGTAGACGAGTGCATGCACACGCACGACGTAATGTGCAGATAGGGGTATTGCCGCCAAACACTTTCGGCATCATCCCCCCAGCAGTTCGACGCTCAAGGAACTACGTCCTTCATGATACGAACACTTTTTGTTAGCATTCTTGTATGAGTTTTCAGCCGTGCAGTGCCACTGCTACGCTCAACTGATGGACCGCTAAGAGGGGAGGAGGGGGGCACGGCTCAGCAACCAAATCCAATGAGGCGTAAGAGGCCCCTCTCTAAAAAATGACATACGCAGGGAACTACGTACGCGACCTCATCCGCGATTTGGCATTTCTATCCCTTAGAAAAGCCTCGTCTATTTGATTGTGCAATTCTAGCCATATATATATATATATATTTATAGATTCGATAGCAGCAAGCTATAAACAAGTATTTATTGATATAGCTCTGCATCTGTACACTGCACGTGCATGGAGTATGCATCGAATGGAGGTTCAGTCTCAAATGCTCATGGGTCTGCATGCAGATTCATGTGTAGTTGACGATATGTCTGCAATGTCAGCTACCGCTTGATATCACTCCCCCGAGGCTGCCCTTTTGGCAGCTGAGTAACTACATAGCGAATTCTATGAGAAAAGTCGCTCGGCCTTTGGAGTGTATGAAGTGGTATGACGCCTATATTGCATTCAGAAGGTCGCAGACTCATGAGCCTCTAGTCCCTTGCTCTAGCCCTATTCCCACCCTCCTGCGGCTCAGTTGTGTGCAAACCATTCTACAGTACTGCCCCAAAGGGGCAGGGAGGATACATGCGGCTGCAGCACCGCTGCCACTACGGGTTGAGCGAAGGCACACATTGCGAAGGGAGCAATACAGCGCAGCCTTACGGCGTTCTAGTGGTGTGACGCCGATGCTGCATCTGTCTCGCTAACCCTCTGCAAAGGCTTCCGCTGCCTACTTTGGGGCAGGTATGTGTGGTGGATGGGCATGTTTGTGCTTGCTGCTGAGACTTGATGTTTGAGGATACTCTAAGCATGCAGTGCTGCACACAGACTGGGGAGGAGGCTATTGGCAGGCCTCCATCATGCGTACTCTCAAGGATCTCTAGATGGGAAGAGAGAAACAGTTGCACGAGAAGCTAAAACTACAGGGTAGAAAGTAAGTTCCTGTAATGCCAATTGAGGGATCCCATAGGCGTGGAACCCCACAACAGCCAAAGAGGAGCTCTTTGACACGGAATACATAAAAATCTTCTGAGCGCCGCCTCTTTTATTGCCTCCTTGAGGAGACGCGTCCTCAATGAGGCAATAAAAGGCTTGGCCTTAGCCCTCTTTAAGGGCTGCGGCAGACTTGCATCTACGGGGTGCACGTGTGGAATGTGGCAAAAAAGGCAGCCGACGGAGTTGCGAGGCGAATTTAGATGCTACTTCACACGGCAACCTTGCTGCAAGGCAGCAGCAGCCGCTCCTGCAGAGACTGCAGCACTCGTTACGGGAGAGGTATGTACACCTGGACCCCCTGCGTGCAGAGTCGTGAGGTGAGTAGTGTCTTATAGGTGAAGCGTCTGCCAAGCCTAGAAGCCTGTAAAAATCCAAGAGGGTGTATACACTTACTTATTCAGCCATATATATATAATGGCCATGGGTTACTCGCGTCTCTCAGCATAGCGTCTGCCCCCGCTCTCGCATCATCACAATGCGTTTTGCTGTCATCCTCTTTTGCAGTTTGCACTGCATCCGTGCTTGCCACAAGCGTCCCTGTGGCACCGCTTAATCCACAAAAAACGGTTAATAATCTGCTGCGGCTCTCTCTCTGTCTCTTTCTCATTCTCTCCAGCGGAAACCATCCATGGTCATACCAATATATGCTGCTCTGCTTCCTCTGAATGGACTGCTATACATGTTCATCAGAAGCGTGCTTGCCTCCTTTTTGCGCCTCAGGTCCACTGCACCTTGTTGCGCTTCTATGTCGCGAAAAATTTCTTACCGCTGGTGCTGGAAAGAAGTCTTGATCTCGCAAGAGGTCTTCCCACGGCGACGGGTGTGCAGTCCTACGAAAAAGGTCTTGTGAGGATTTTGCACTGCCTCTACGCCACGTCTTCTGTCGGCTTGCCCTCCTCCATCACTGCCTCTAAGAGAGGGGCCTCCTCCGTCTCTACCACAGCAGCAGGCATCTTGACTGCGTTCGGCAGCACTTCGGCTGCTGAGGCTTCTTCCTCAGAACTACCACCAACAGGATGTTGCTCCCCTTCATCAATTTCCTCCTCAGAGCTACCACCAACAGGATGTTGCTCCCCTTCATTAATTTCCTCCTCAGAGCTACCACCAACTGGATGCTGCTCCCCAGCTTCCGCCCCTCCTGAACCACCATCAAAGCTCTCCCCGCCTTCTTCCCCCGCGGGAGCTCCGAAGAAGCCACCGTCCAGACTAAAGCCGTCATAGTCTAGCAGCACTTGCGTCTCGTGATGACTTTCAGCTTCTCCAGGAGGAGGAAACCATCCAGACGTTCCTCGTGCTACCCACGCAGGGCGAGGTCCTGCAGACATCTCCCCGCAACAGCTCGCTCGCGCGGAAAGTTCAAGTTCAATTTTCATGACAGAAAGAAGAAATCAAAGGGCGAAACACGTTTAAAAAAGCCCCTTTCAACTTGCATGCAGCATTTTCTGTACCTGGAGGAATACCGAGGACGGGAAGTGCCCTGCGATTGTCTACCATCATCAACGCGAGACGGGTTAGGCCTGGATTCTGCTGCAAGTATTCATGAAGGCAACTCCAATATACGATCAGACGCAGCAGCTCGCGGCTTTCTGCATCCGACATGTCATTTCCACTCATCAGAAAGATCACCTGGAGAGCGTATAAACGCAGCAACAGATGCAAAAGGAGTCGCCTGTCCAGTAAGTGCAGCCACAAGTTGACTCGCGTCTTACAACTGTGCACGTTCTCTGGCGTTTGAGGCAGATCAGCAGTATTGAACGACACTGACAGCGGTTCAACGTGTTTTTTTGGAGGCTGCCCCCGTGCCTTCTCTTACTCCCCTACTCCTGTACGGCAGCAACAACAACACTGACTCGTGCACCAACAGAGACAACAACAGCAGCAACAAAATCAACTACAGCAACAGAAACAACAAAAGCAAATGAAGAAAATAGCACCTAAAGCACACCAACAGCAACTAAAGGAACTGAAGCAATAGCAACACAACCAGCAACAAAAAAACAGCAGCAACGGTGGTGGTAGAGTGCTTGCGTACTCCTCTGTCGAAGACGATCTTCTCGCCGCTCAGCTGAATGTTGTTCCACGTAACCGAGGAGCCTCTCTCTCTTACAGTGCCTGGTTTCCCATGCAAAACAGGGACGGTCGATCCTACGGGGAGAGTCTCTAATTTTCCAAGAGCAGCCGTACGGCTGCAAGCGCAAGACCGCAAAAGATCCCTTGCAGTGCGTGCATTAATGATCCTAGAGAGCTGCAAGGCACCCTAGAGTGTCGTTCAGGCTAAGACGGGGGTGTATGCAGATGCGTTCTGAAACAAGCAGTCCACTTGTTTTCCGTTTAGCAGACTTACCCAAGAAGCTTGAGAACATTTGCCTGATTTTCTGGTCGCTCGAGAGCTGCTGCAAGACACGGCGGAGGCTTCCGCCCCTGATAATCCCTTGCCTTGTCATCAGTAATGGTGAGGAAGGTCAAGGGACAGGGAATGAGCTGATCAATGTGGGAAGTTTCCAGCATTTTTCCAAACAGCGTCAGGTCCTGAGCGCAAAAATGAACGGAGAGCAGCTGTACGTACAGTCACCTACAAGGCACTGGCGTGTTGCGCGGCTGCTGCTGCTGCTGCTGTCTTTCAACGCAGGAGACGAGAGAAGAGACACCTGGAGGTGGTCTCGAATCTCGCAGATTTGGTTTGCTTCAAACTACGGAGGAAAAGGAGGAGTTTAAGAAGCCAGTCAAGAGCAAGCAACCTGTCTCACCGAGCGAGATCGTATGACATCCCCAAGTGTAGGAACACCCTGCGGAGGAGGCTCTTGAGATGCGCAGGGCAGAGCCTCCGGCTGCAAACGCCAAGCCGCAACAGCAGAAGACAAGTGGGCAAAAATGTGTGTGACCAGGAGCACTAGAAGGCACTCTATTCGGAGCACTAGAAGACACTCTATTAGGAGCACTAGAAGACACTCTATTAGGAGCACTAGAAGGCACTCTATCTAAAACACTAGAAGGCACTCTATCTAAAACGCTAAAAGGCACTCTATTAGGAGCACTAGAAGGCACTCCATTTAAAGCAATATAAGGCACTCTATTTGAAGCACTAGAAGGCACTCTATCTAAAACGCTAAAAGGCACTCTGTCTAAAACACTAGAAGGCACTCTGTCTAAAACACTAGAAGGCACTCTATCTAAAGCACTAGAAGGCACTCTATCTAAAGCACTAGAAGGCACTCTATCTAAAACACTAGAAGGCACTCTATCTAAAACACTAGAAGGCACTCTGTCTAAAACACTAGAAGGCACTCTATCTAAAACACTAGAAGGCACTCTATCTAAAACACTAGAAGGCACTCTATCTAAAACACTAGAAGGCACTCTATCTAAAACACTAGAAGGCACTCTATCTAAAGCACTAGAAGGCACTCTATCTAAAGCACTAGAAGGCACTCTATCTAAAACACTAGAAGGCACTCTATCTAAAACACTAGAAGGCACTCTGTCTAAAA